GGGCGGGGGGGGGGAGAAGTTAGCCTTCCAGTTTACACCCTCCCCCCTGCCCCCACTTTTATGACTTTCCATTTGGGCTGAACGAAATTGACTTTGGCAAGCAAACCACTAATTGTAAACTGCCTAGTTCCTGTTTTACAATATACTGACTAAAAGCTCCTCTGCATGAAAAGATCTTTATAGGCGAAGTTTGCCTTTTCTAGAGAGGTTGCAAATAGCTGCCCAGTTTCATAGTTTTAAAACCTCCTGACTGGAGCAATTTCTAGATTGTTGTGTTTCTAGTTAATAACTTTATAAGGTGTTAGCTAAGGCTCTTAAATCTTGGCACAGCTCTTCAAGGTAGTAAACAATTCTGTAGTTCCGGTCAAATATTTATACTGACAAAATCAAAAAGCCTAACATTTTATGTTGTATGGTGGTGTAGGATTAAAACGAATAAATAATTTACCTTACGGTAGGAGAAATTATTGTGACTATTATTTTCCTTCAGAAACAAAAATTATTATTTTTAATTACTCTCTAACTCATCAGAAATCTAAATTGAACTTTGATTCTCTGCTATGGGGATTAAAACATTTGTAAAATTACATTTCACTGGATTGAAATTTAAGCACTGGCTTGCACAAAGGGCTTTTCCAGTCTACAGGGGCTGCTATTGTAAGCACTCAGATGAACATTCTAAAAGTTAGTGCCTTGGAGTTTGGGGTTCAGGAATTGCTTAGGTAGATGCTGTATCTGGTCCCTGAAGCACTTTGATGCAATTTCTCCTTGTTTTCAGGTGAAATCCGGTGCTACTGTGACGCCGCCCACTGCGTGGCAACTGGCTATATGTGTAAATCAGAGCTGAGCGCCTGCTTCTCCAGACTTCTTGATCCTCAGAACACAAATTCGCCTCTCACCCATGGCTGCCTGGACTCTCTCGCAAGCACAGCAGACATCTGCCAAGCCAAACAGGCACACAACCACTCTGGCCCCACCATGCCCACGTTGGAATGCTGTCATGAAGACATGTGCAATTACAGAGGGCTGCATGATGTTCTCTCTCCTCCCAAGGGGGAGGCCTCAGGTAGGGAGAAGCCCTTCCTAACCAGAATGCTGGCCCCACGACTTTGTATGTCTGCTATTGATTTTGTTGTTAATGTAATTAGAGACACCAGAGGGAGAAGCATGGCTGGATGCAAAGATGCATCTCTGTTGAGTAGCTTTTATGTCTGCCTGAGCATTAGATGTCTGTCTATATAATAGATTTTGCCTGTTTTTTCAACATTTTGAAGACATTAAAAGACCATTACTACTCAGTAATGACAGTCTGTAAACAAATGTTTTTGTAGCTTCTTTGTACCATTTTGCAACATTTATTTTCAAAATATGGTTGATTTCATGGTAAATTTCTTTTTAATGGGGTCCCTTATTTAAAATGCGTAGATGATCCTGAATATCTACAAGAAGGGGGTTAGCATGGTTTGATAATTTTGTTATTTTGTTTGTGCTCCTTTAGGACAACGAAACAGGCATCAGCATGACGGTAGCAGAAACCTCATCACCAAAGTGCAGGAGTTGACTTCTTCCAAAGAATTGTGGTTCCGGGCGGCCGTGATCGCTGTTCCCATCGCCGGAGGCCTGATTTTAGTGTTGCTCATTATGTTAGCCCTGAGGATGCTTCGAAGTGAAAACAAGAGACTGCACGATCAGCGGCAACAGATGCTCTCCCGTTTGCACTACAGCTTTCACGGACACCATTCCAAGAAGGGGCAGGTGGCCAAGTTAGACTTGGAATGCATGGTGCCCGTGAGTGGCCACGAGAACTGCTGTCTGACCTGTGATAAAGTGAGACAGGCAGACCTCAGCAACGATAAGATCCTCTCGCTGGTTCACTGGGGCATGTACAGTGGGCACGGGAAGCTGGAATTCGTATGACGGAGTCTTATCTGAACTGGACTTCTTGGACGCTTGAAGGCCTCTGAGTTCTGCTGGACAGGAGCACTTTATCTGAAGAAAAACAAACTCGCATAATCATCTTTGAGAGACACAATGACCTCTGCAAACAGAATCTTGGATATTTCTTCTGAAGGATTATTTGCACAGACTTAAATACAGTCAAATGTATTATTTGCTTTAAAATTATAAAAAGCAAAGAGAAGACTATGTACACACTGTTACCAGGGTTATTTGCATCTGAGGGAGCTGGAATCGAGTACCTTAATAAACTAAAATGTGCTCCGTGTAAGCTCCTACAGCTTGATTTATTGTAAAGATTTAAAAATATATATATATATTTTGTCTGAAATTTAGTGGTGTCTTGTCATAAATTAAAAACTAAGTGGGAAGTGTAAGAAACTTCATGTAAATTATAGAAATGAAGATCTGTTGATGCTTACAGTAGGGTCTCGACTATAGGATTTGGCTTGATTATTGTTACTTTTTTTTAAAGAAGACCAAAATCTCGTTTATTCTTACATGTGTAGTTTTCTTACAGCGTGGAAAATTTCTAAATGTGGACTGCCCATCGTTCAATGTCTTACCCACTTTTTTTTGTCTTTTCTTTTGGTGAGGAAGATCGGCTCTGAGCTAACATCCATCCGTGCCCATCTTCCTCTATTTTTTGTATGTGGGCCGCCGAAGCAGAGCGTGCGAATTTAAATCACTATGCCGCTGGACCGGCCCCTTAGCCACATTTTTTTTGTTAGGATAATTCTAGTTTTTAACTTTCATCTAAGAGAAATCTTAAACTTATTTATACCAGGCCAGATATGATGGATCAATTTTTGAAATCACCTTAGCAAAGGTAATATTTATCAGCTTGATCTAGTTGCTCTGGAATACCTTTTTAAATGTGTCTACCTCCAACCAAAAAAGAAAAAAAACACCACTAAATGAAACCTTTTTTTTGTAGTTAAAGTTATTCTCTGTCTACTTTTACTGTTGATTAATTCATCGGTTTACTCTGTCTGAAACCAAATTAAATATTTGAGACTCCAAATTAGCCAAATTTTGTTGTACCATGGCTCCTAGTTTTCAAACTTTCCTTCAACATAGTGTTATACTCACATTTTTTTTTTACTTCTCAATTTTTAGAAAGGTTTTCAATAGTGAATGTCGTATATCAATTGAGATTTAAATAACACGCAGTTTCCTCCCCCAAATGATCCTTTAAATGTAACCAAATAGAGCATTGACTTTAGCTACTAACTAATACACTGCGTTTCTACTCCTGTAGACTTTGTGTCTGGCAACACTGCCCAGCCTGAATTTAAAACCATGCCACGTTTGTGTACTTTTCCCCCAAAATGGGCCTTTGTTATCTTAATGTGAGAATAATTTGCCAGGTAGGGTTTTTTTCATGATTCTTTTGTATATTTGAAACTTTTGCTTAAAAATTAACCTATAGTCTACATATTTGAGTATGAGGTTTTCTTCTATGAATGTTAAAGGATTTTTTTTGCATATTTTCTGGAATATTTTATGATAAGCATAATTTGGGTCCCTTAGGACAGATGCAGTAGCCAAGTTCATGGAAGAATCTAAGTTGACATGACTAGTCTAAAAATGAATACCTAGATTATTTAATAATTAATAGACCACAGCCCCAAACAAATTAGGCTATGGAATAAATATGCATTTTAATAAATGACATGCATTCGTATTGTGCTTTTTGAGGTTGACAGTTCTCGCTTGCATGACTTCCAGCTCATGAAAGGTGTTAAGTTTTATGTGTGTCAGTTTTTGAGGGAGCTGAAGAATTGTTGGACCTAACTATCCAAATCTGTCTAGGGAAGAGAATTGATCAAAATTTCCAGTTGGTGAAATTTCACCCACGCCTCCGCTTTCTAGCTCGACATCAAAGTACAGTAGTTTTGTAGCTTGAAGATTGAAAGACTTCTTGCTCCTTGTACCTTCTCATTTCATGTAGAGCGTCATGCAAGCTCAATGATGCTTGGAGGCCAGACTTTATATCAGCTCTCTGTAGTTAATTTTCTTGCTCTGCTGTTATTTCTGTTCATCCCATTTCTTCCAAGTGCTGGTTAACTAAGAAATCAACGCTTCATTAGGAAATAAAACAATGAAGCATTTCAAGTCATATGCTTTGAAACACTTTGAAATTAGTAAACCCCATCCTCCGGGAAAGGCCTGTGTCAGGGTAGTGATAAAATGATAGAAATTTAAAGGAAGATGAACGGGAAGTGTCTCCACTTGGTTCTGTTTTTACTGACTTGCCTCTTGTTTTTTCTACTGTAAATTCATAAGGCTGTTTACATCCCTGTTCAATGGGATGGTGGCTCTGTGCCCATGCTCTGTCAGGCTGGGTTTTCTAGGGCTCAAGTTCTAGCCACATAATAGACTGGCCCTGTTTCTTTTCCTAATAACAAATCCTCTGCCTTTGATACCCCCTCATTCATTTAGTATTTGCACATATCCTTGCCACCAGTCCTGAAGTCAGATCTGCGCATGACTTGGCCTTTTGACAAAAATATCGCAGGTTTCTCAACTTTAATTTTTACTAAGAACTAAATATAGAGTCTGCTTTTGCTTCCCTATGAGAATGCAGAAGTTGCCAAGAGCGGAGATAAAGGACCCTTCATGAAATAACTACCTACCTGATTCGGTGATGTAAGAATGGTGATGACTGGTGTATTTGTTTTTCCCTCATGGAGATGTTTACTGTTACTTTGAGGTGTCAGTACAAGGCTGGGCTAACCAGGAACAGCCCTTGTTTAATATTGACAGAACTCCCCAAAAAAGTAATTTTCCTTTCTGAGTGGAAATCTGCCCAAACCAGAGACAAATGGGACCAAATTTGCCATGATGTTTCTGTATCTACACCCCTTACCCCCTTTGAAAAAATTGATCTGTACGTGGTTACGTCTTTTATGTTATTTTCCTCCTTATTTTGAATGGCTCAGAGGCTTCCTAGAAATTGACTGGTGTGTCTCTAATTTCTGCTGAACTGATTTTATTAAAAATACTGCACCATAGGGGGTTTGACCTTCTAAAATACCAAACATGTCTGCTTTAGAAAATCACAAAGCTCTCCTCTGAAGAGCTTGTAAATCTGGTTTCAATATGGGTTGATTATAGACTAAAAGCTTGAAAGCAGTGGCATCTAGTATCACGAGTCTGGAACTAGCCTTTTTGGGGCCAGGACAACTTTTTTTTCCTCATAACCTCTAATTGGTCCTCTTCTCTGTCTCTCAGCCCAAATAACTTTAAACCTCCAAAAGTTACGTGGTGTCATGCGGTTGAACTCAACTAAGGCAGTAGTCAAGTGCGCTTTGGGGTCTCACAGCCTGGGTTCCAAGCTGCCTTTGTCCCTACTAGCTGTGTGAACTGGGCATATTACTTAAGCTCTTGGAGTACTCCATTTTGTTACCTATAAAATGGAGGCAATAATAATACTTTTATGATTATTGTAAGGAGGTATAGTAGCTATTCCTATTAATATACACCAGAGTCTTGTTTCCCTTTGGAGTAATCTAGATGGCTACTGATAAGAACATTTTAATTTTATACACCTGTTTTGTTTTTCAATATTTGACAGAATGAAGTTCTTGTAGAGTTTCAACTGCTCCAGATGGTTAATCCATTGAGAAAATCGAGAGAGCCAAGTTAGGTGACAGAGAATGTTTCAGAATTGCTTGAGCAGTTTGTGTCTGATTGACGCATTCTGAACAAGTGCTACTATCAATGATAATTTGCCCCGTAGGTGCTCTCAACAAAATACACTAGTTCCGTGACTAGTTTTTGGGACTTTGTGAATTTTTTTTTGGTGGGGGGTTAGTTAGTGAAAAATCCATTTAATTTCTCTAGATGAAGTTAATTTAGTTCCTCTGTGGGTCACAGTTATAATGGAAAAAATAACCACTCCAGACACCAACTCATTCCCTTCCCTCTACCCAATTCATTCTGTCAATGTTGCCCTCACTCTGCTCACTTAAAAAGGCAGATTGTTGATCTGAGAATTTAAAATCCAACGAAATAATGAAATTAGATGCTCTTTCAAATTTTGACAACTCTTTATGTGGAATACACTTTTAGACTCTAAACACATCCTTGTTAATTTGTTAACGCTGCACCGTTCCACAGCATGGTGGTGGAATTCACTTGTCTGCCATTCCAGAAATTTGGAGACAGAATTGGGAAGGTGGCAGAGCTGATTTTAACCAGATAGGGGTTTATTTCTTGCAGCAAGGAAGGAATTTTCCAGTGGATCTACTTTGTAGAGTTTCGAAGTATTTATTACTAGGGAAGGCCTACCAGCCATATTTCTGCAAACTTTCCCCATTCTATGAATATGAGTGGGGTAAGCAGAAATGCATTGATAAGCAATCTTGGGAGTTACTTTGGGTAAGTAGTTAGATAATATCTCAAGGCAGTTGTCATTCCTTAAGACTTTTAGGGGATTCATCCTATCTAGTAGCCACGGGCCAGATAGCCTCTAAGGGGCTATTTCAAATTGTGTTTAGCTACCTATAGCTTACAGATTAGATTGATGTTGGAGTAAACCTGAGCAGAACCCTGGAAAGATGAGTTGATAATTATTTTATTGCAAGACATATGTGTACATATATGCCATACTAGCCGAATAGTCTTTGGAATCCTGGAATAATTTTACACTTAACAATTTTCAAGGCAGAGTGTAAGTAGATGCTGGAATTTGTGAGGTCAGCAATTTGTTTTTAGACGTGTGAAGACTAAGTTAGTTGTGATGAATTAATAAAGTCAGAGGCTGTTGTGTAAATTCACTCTGAGAGATCTCGTATTACAAACCTAATGGAACAAAAATTGTTTTAGCAGTTAAAACCAAGAGAAATACAGAAAACTCTTTATCCCTGGTCTCTTCCCCTTGGATTTTTCCCTAGGGAACCGATGAGGACAGTGGAAAAACACCACACTTCTAAAAGCAGTTTCTTACTTTTCAAGTGTTAGAAGTTCACGTTGAAGCATTTTTTACTAAATTTAGTGGATGTGATTTTGATACGATAGACTTTAATTCGCAGTTGCCTTGGTAAATGAGGTATTTCTCACCTGGATTTAGGGATTAAACTGTCAACTCCCAGTGGGGAGGAGGTAGGATCAATAACCTTTGTACCTTTCCACAATCTGAGGAAAGGAGAGAATGAGATGAAGGACAGATTGAGGCCTCTTGTCATCAGGCATCTGAATTCAGATTGTTAGTAAATAAACAAATATTGTTTTTCTCTTTATTTCTCCCCTCTAAACTGTTGTTTCACAGATTTATAATTTTTGTATGGGAAGCCTAAAGGAAAACAAATTGCTAGTGAAGGGAGTCGAG